GCCAAAAATCCATAGGTAAATTGGGCCTTGATCATCTACCATACTACCTCAGAGTCTGCAATACAGGTATGAAGATTTAGTGTGCCACTGGGACATATATACCTAGTAAGCTAATCTCCTCAGTACTTTCTGCTAAAACAGAACAAACTAAATCAAATTGTCTTCTCCATACAAGCTCTAAGATTTTGGAAAGAATACAACTGATATCCCCTGAAATCTATACTCTTGGCTAAGAAAATCAAAGAATACTGTTTCCATTCCTTACGTTCTTGCTCTGGGTTACTTCCCATGAGCTACACCTAGGATGAATTCAGAAAAGTAGTTTTTGATCAATGCAATGGGACTCTCCTCTTCTGTGAACTAGATACTATTTCTTTTAATACACCTAAGATGGCAGCAGATGGGATGTGGCATTAAGCATTGTCAGATGTTTCATGGTTTATATTCTGAGAGTCATCACTGCAACTCATGTAACCCTAAACAGAGGTGTAGGCCACAGTTCCTTTGTGTCCTTAGAGCTCTCTATTTTTGCCCCAAATCATTGGCAAAACCCCAAATCATGGCAGCTGACTCCCTGGTCTAGATCCTCAGTCTGAGAAAATACCTGTCCTTTCTCTCATATTAGTTTTTAAATTTTTTTGAAGTTTATGTATTTATTTTGAGATACAGAGAGAGCAAACAGGAAAAGGGCATAGAGAGAGAGGGAGAGAGAGAGAGAATCACAAGCAGGCTCCCAACTGTCAGCGTGGAGCCTGTTGCTGGGCTCAAACTCACAAACTGTGAAATAATGACCTGAGCCAAAACCAAGAGTTAGACGCTTAACTGACTGAGCCATCCAGGCACCCCTCTTTATCTCATATTAAACACTGATAATTTCTTACCTTATAATTTCTAAAATTATCCATTTCCCTTTATACACAGGACCTTACCTGGGTACTATTTTGACATGAGCCAATGCCTTTTTCTAAATATGTTATCTAAAAGATGTGCTCTTGGGACAAATGACCCTGGGAAAAACACACATTCATTCTTTAAAACAACTACCTCTTTAACTCTATCCAAAGTAAAAACATATTTGGAAAAAGTACTGATTTTACTAACTTGTAAATTGTGTTAATACTTAATTGGCTGGGGAAAAAAGCCACCTTAAAATTACACATCTTAGCTGTACTAACTATAAATCTGATAGTTTCAAATCACATCTAAACATTTTTCAGAGAATCTTTCATAAAGTTATTTATCACAAATTACTAAAAACACTGGCAAAAGGTATGCTTTTATTTATCTCCTAACTACTTTCTATACCTCTGCTATAAGGCAGGATGATGATTGTCTTAGCACTGTTAAAAGAATGCAGACTTAGACATTATATGATTCTAATAATACCATAAATTAGTCTGAGTAACTTTTTTGGATAATAATATTTTCAAATCATTATGTAATTGTACTCAGTACCAAATAAGAGATTCATTTTCCTACAGGGTCACTTAAATATGCAATTAAAAGTTATTCCCGCATGTCTTCCTCCCAAGGCTGTCAGTGCAAATTCTCCAGGGTCATCATCTCTCCACCGATTTGTACATTGTACAGAATCACTCATGCAAACTGTATTCCAAATGGCTTTAAAATATTAAAAGTTCCATTTTACAATTTCTTCTGCTCAGTGATCAGTGTGGTGAATCTCCTTCATCTTGATAAAGGTCATAAAGTTTTTTATTCTTCAAAGTGTCTGATTTTGTGGGTTGTAGCAGGAGGAAAGAATGAAAGGAGAGGGCAGGTCATAAAAAAAACCAGAGTGCAATCAGCATCAGGAAAGAAATGATATTTAAGAAGAATTAAACAAAGTTCCCCTCATTCTGGATGTTCCCTTCTACCTTTTGTAACTTATTAAGCCAGATGGCCATTGTTCATGACTCAAAAGACATGAAAAGAAGAGTACCTAAAAATAATCAAATTTTGTCTTTGTAATTTCAAACATCTAGGTTCATAGGAATACAAATAATTTTTACTCAGAGTCAATATATTTAGGAGATGTTATGATCAGTAGAAAAATTAAATAGTTTCCCTATTGCCTTTCCATTTTCCCAAAGTGAAAAAAAATTCCCTGATTTGGGGGAGACTAGTGACAGAGGAAGTGTGAAGAGGGGGAAAGGTCTGTGAGGAATTGAAATTAGGATATAAGGACCCAATCTGGGATGAATAGTAGGCAGGAACAGAAACTAATAAAAACTACCAGGCTAAGGGTCCATTTAGTTATTTTACTCTTTTTTTTTTTTTGGTCATAGTTTATTGTCAAGTTGGATTCCATATAACACCCAGTGCTGATCCCCACAAGTGCCCTCCTCCATGCCCACCACCCCCTTTTCCTCTCCCCCCCCATCAGCCTTCAGTTTGTTCTCAGTATTTAAGAGTCTCTCATGGTTTGCTTCCCTCCCTCTCCCCAACTATTTTTCCCCTTCTTCTCCCCCATGGTCCTCTGTTAAGTTTCTCCTAATCCACCTATATGTGCAGACATATCTGTCTTTCTCTGTCTGACGTATTTCGCTCAGCATAACAGCCTCAAGTTCCATCCATGTTGCTACACATGGCCAGATTTCATTCTTTCTCATTGCCAAGTAGTATTCCATTGTATAGATAAACCACATCTTCTTGATCCACAGTTGATGGACACTTAGGCCCTTTCCATGATTTGGCTATTGTTGAAAGTGCTGCTATTAACATTAGGGTACGTGTGCTCCTATGCATCAGCATTCCTGTATCCCTTGGGTAAATTCCTAGCAGTGCTATTGCTGGGTCATAGGGAAGTTCTATGGTTAATTTTCTGAGGAACCTCCACACTGTTTTCCAGAGGGGCTGCACCAGTTTACATTCCCACCAACAGTGTAGGAAGGTGCCTGTTTCTCCACATCCTCGCCAGCATATAGAATCTCCTGATTTACTCATTTCAGCCACTCTGACTGGCGTGAGGTGGTATCTCAGTGTGGTTTTGATTTGTATTTCCCTGATGATAAGGGACACTGAGTATCGTTTCATGTGTCTGTTGGCCATCTGGGTGTCCTCTTTGGAGAAGTGTCTGTTCATGTCTTCTACCCATTACTTCACTGGATTGTTTGTTTTTCGGGTGTGGAGTTTGGTGAGTTCCTTATAGATTCTGGATATTAACCCTTTATCTGATATGTCATTTGCAACTATCTTTTCCCACTCTGTTGGTTGCCTATTAGTTTCGTTGATTGTTTCCTTTGCCGTGCAGAAGCTTTCAATCTTGATGAGGTCCCAATAGTTCATTTTTGCTCTTGATTCCCTTGCCGTTGGGGATGTGTCAAGTAAGAAATGGCTGCAGTGGAGGTCCAGGAGGTTGTTTCCTGCTTTCTCCTCTAGGGTTTTGATAGTTTCCTGTCTCACTTTCAGGTCCTTTATCCATTTTGAGTTTATTTTTGTGTATGGTGTGAGACAGTGATCCAGTTTCATTCTTCTGCATGTTGCTGTCCAGTTCTTCCAGCACCATCTGTTAAAGAGGCTCTCTTTTTTCCATTGAATACTCTTTCCTGCTTTGTCAAAGATTAATTGGCCATACATTTGTGGGTCCAATTCCGAGTTCTCTATTCTGTTCCATTGGTCTATGTGTCTGCTTTTTGTGCCTATACCATACTGTCTTGATGATTACAGCTTTGTACTCTTGGTAAATGATGAAGATTTAAAACAAACTCCATGATAGATGAGACAGCCTTAAATAAAACCTTCCATTATAAGTTTTATCGGGCAAAATTTAGAACTATAAGGAGTAATTCCAGGTGGAAAAAGATAGCACACGTGTCTCAGAAACCATGAATTCAAAGAATTGGGTGAAGGACGCAGTAAACCCAACATTAACCTTAGGCTAGTACATCCATTATATATGCACCAGATGAGGGAAATAAAATTCATTTTCAAGCATTTGTAGAAATGTACACAAATATGAATAAAAGCAAAAATAAAGTTTCAAGTTTACCCAAAACTATCATACAAGAGTTGCAAACAAAAAAAGTAAAATAATATTAGAAAAATCAACGTGAAAAAGCACACTAACCCAAATAGCTCCAAGATAAATGTTCAATTTTGAATAATTTATAGGAAAAAGGGTAAATCAAATGTACATTAAAATTTTTTTTTGTAAAAAGGAAAACATAATAAACCATACTACATTTCACACCTGAGTGTTTTGCTAAAGTAGTAACAAAAAGGAGATGTATAGCCCCAAATGCACCTATAAGAGCACTACAAGGCCTGAAAGTAAATGAATTAAGAATTTATTGCAAGAAGGTAGAAAAATAACAAGAAAATAAAACACTCTAAATATAAGAAAATAATCATTTTAAACAAAATAATAAAAAGCTTCATAGAGTCAATCAACAGATACATAATTTTTTAAAAAGAATAACAAAAATGATAAAATTAGCCAGTGTGATTTTATTTTGAAAGAGAATGAAGATGTGAATAAACAACATCATCAATGAAAAAATGGGTAACTAATTATTAAGTAACTTATCACTTAAGATTAAATACCATACATTAGTCCCAGCAATCCTACTTTTGGGCATATACCCAAAAGAAACTAAATCAGTATTTTGCAAAGATTTTTGCACTCCCACGTTCATTGCAACACAACTCACAATAGCCAAAATACGGGAACAATCTAAAGTCATCAGTGGATGAATGGCTAAAGAGAAGGTGGTGTGTGTATATATAATGGAATAGTATTCAGCCATAAAAAAGAAGGAAATCCTGCCAGGTGTGACAATATGGATGAACCTGGACTACTTAACACTAAATGAAATAAGCTAGACACAGAAAGATAAATACTGTATGTACTTAACCACATGTGGAATCTAAACAAAACCAAACCAAAGTCAAACTCATAGAAACAGTAGAATGATGATCACCTCAGGCTAGCTAGTGGGGGAAATGGGAGATGCTAATCAAAGAAAGGGTTAAGCTTTCAGTTATACGGTGAATAAATACTCGTGCTCACTTTGACAGCACTTATACTAAAATTGGATCAGTACAGAGATTAGTGTGGCCCCTGTGAAAAGATAACATGCAAATTTGTGAAGTGTTCCATATCTTTCCACTTTCTAACACCATACACAAAAATAGATTCAAAATGTATGAAAGACCTAAATGTGAGGTAGTAAACCATCAAAATCCTCGAGGGGAACACAGGCAGTAACCTCCTTGACATCAGCCACAGCAACTTATTTCTAGATATGTCTCTGGAAGCAAGGGAAACAAAAGCAAAAATGAATGATTGGGATTTCATCAAGATAAAAGCTTCTGCACATCAAAGATAAAAATAATGAACAAAACTAAAAGGCGAGACCTTCAGAATGGGAGAAGTTATTTGCAAGTGACATATCAGATAGAAGTTTAGTGTCCAAAATCTATAAAGAACTTACCAAACTCAACACCCATAAAACAAATAATCCAGTGAAGAAATGGGCAGAAGCCATGAATAGACATTTTCTCAAGGAAGACATACAAGTGGCTAACAGGCATGTGAAAAGATGCTCAACATCACTTATCATCAGGGCAATACAAAACAAAACTACAAAGGACAGGAAACAACAAATGTTGGCAAGAGGAGAAAGGGGAACCCTCTTATACTGCTGGTGGGACTGCAAACTGGTGCAGCTACTCTGGAAAATAGTGTGGAGGGTCCTCAAAAAGTTAAAAATAGAAATATGCCCCAAGGGAAAGGGACATATGTATCTCAATATTTATAGCATCATCATCAACAATAGCCAAATTATGGAAAGAGCCCAAATGTCCGTCAATTGATGATGGATAAAGAAGATGTGAGATATATATATATATATATATATCCCATATAGATATATTCATGCAATGGAATATTACTCAGCCTTCAAAAAGAATGAAATCTTGTCATTTGAAACAACATGGATGGAGCTAGAATGTATTATGCTAAGCAAAATAAGTCAGAGAAAGCTAAACACCATATGATTTCACTTGTGTGGAATTTAAGAAATGAAACAGATGAACACAGAGGTAAAAAGAGAGAGAGGCAAATCATAAAACAGACTCTTAACTGTAGAGAACAAACTGAGGGTCGCTGGAGAGGGGGTACTAGTTAAATAGGTCAGGGGTATTAAGGAAGGCACTAATTGTGATGAGCACTAGGTGTTATATGTAAGTGATGAATCACTAAATTCTACTCTTAAAGTTAATATTACACTATATGTTAATTAACTGGAATTTAAATAAAAACTTGCAATGAAACAAAAAAAGATAAAGAAGTTCTGGGACCTAATGTACAACATACTGACTATACTTAATAAACTATACAGTAGACTTGAAATTTGCTGCTAAGAATAGAGAGCCTAAGCATTTTTCCATGCACATGCAGGAAAAAAAGTAACTATATAAGGTGAACAGTGTGTTAATTAACTTGATTAAGTGGTAATCATTTCATAATATATACATATATAATTTCATCACATTGTATACTTTAAAGATATATAATTTTATTCATAATTATGCCTAAATAAAACTGGAAGAAAAGACTAAATAAAGGTAAACAAAAGACAGTGATCAACATAATAGAAATAAATATGAAAATCTATATAACATGAAAAAATTCTAGGGAAATATAAACCACCAAAGGTGGCCCATCATGAAAAAAATCATAAAATCAAAGAAAGATATCAGACCCACTGAACTTATTTTATTTTATTTTATTTTTGATGTTTTATTTATTTCTAGGAGAGAGCGAGCGAGCATGAGCAGGGGAGGGTCAGAGAGAGAGGGAGTCACAGACTGAAACAGGCTCCAGGCTCTGAGCTGGCAGTCAGCACAGAGCCCGACGCGGGGCTCGAACCCACGAACCTCGAGATCATGACCTAAGCGAAAGTCGGATGCTTAACCGACTAAGCCACCCAGGTGCCCCACCACTGAACTTATTTTAAAAAGCTATTCTGAATTGTAAAGAGAAAAACTGATATATAGAATAGAAAATGGGCAATTTCTCATTTTCTGAGCTTAGTAATATCTGTGTACCCCAAGACAGAAAAGCACAACAAAGCAAAAACATATATTAATCATACTTATAAACTCCGAAGCAAAATCCAGAGTATCAGCAAATCACAATCAACACTTCATTGTAATGATATCATGAACAATGATTTAATCTCCAAATTGCAAGGGCAGCACAATTTAAGAAAATTTACCAACAAAGTTAATTCACCAAAATAAGCTATCTAAATGAGAAAAAACATAATCAAGTTAATATGTATCAATATGCCATTAAGTGATATCTGGCAATCATTCATGATAAAAAAAAAATCTTGGCAACCAACTTTCATAAATGTATCTACCAGATACATATAGCAAATAACATGTACTGTATAAGATGCAAAGTCTAGAATGTTTTACATTAAATTCAGAAATTAAAGACGTCATCTCTTATCACCATTACTAATCCTTAACTTGTCCTAAAGATTCTACCCACTGAAAAAGATGAGAGAAAAAATAAGTGGAGAAAGTACGTAGAAGTTGGAAAATATGAAATAAAATATTTTCAGCAGATATGACAATTTATATAATCAATCCAAGATAACCGACAAACAATTAGAACTAAAGTGGAAATTCAACAGTGCCCAAATACAAGATCAACACGGAAAAAAACAACAATTAATAGCTACCCTGTATAGCAACAATAAGACATTAAAAAACAACAACAACAACAACTAATTCAGGACTATGAAATTTGGAACGGAGACATTTGGATGGATTTGAATAAAGGGGAAACTATGAACTTTAAAATTACCTGGAGTCACCTTTGGCAAATAAAACCTCCTTTCCTGTCTGCAATTTAAGAAAGCCAGCCCTTCTTCCCTAATAAATAAATAAACACATAATAATGTGACCTCCAGGCAGGTCTTTTCCTCGATGCAGCGGAACGTGCTTTTTAGTTCCGGGTCATCTGAGAAACCCAGCTGGAAGCTCTAGGCTGAGGCTGTTTTGCGACTGTTACTCGCACAGCTGAGCAGAAACATTTTTCGAAGTTAGGACCTGCCTCAGTGCTTTATAGGAAACCCAGCTTTAGTTTTGTGTGAAGATTTGGTGTCCCTGAGCGTGGTGTGGACAATCTTGTGCGTCGTGTTTTCTCGTACCCGCTGAGGTGCGTCCGCTGAAGTGAATCGGCCGCGGCGCACCCTCTCAGGGCCTTGTTACTATAGCAATGGCGGAGCCTGCCGGAGAGATGGTTCGCAATATTGTAACCTTTGAGGATGTGTGCGTATACTTCTCCCGAGAGGAGTGGGACCTACTTGATGAAGGTCAGAAACGCCTATACTGTCATGTGATTCTGGAGAACTTCCTACTGGTAACCTCACTGGGACTTCCAATTTCCAGATACCATTTATTTCCCCAATCACAGCCAGTGTGGGAGCCCCCAGTTCCTGAAAATGTAGCCATAGCTCCAGCCAGGGCAGGGATGGTCCAGGGGAGCCCTGGCCCTTTTCACAGAGCAAGAAATAAAGATGCATCTTCTGGGCAGGGTGATTTTATAAGACAGTCACAGGTGAGAACTCTCATGGTGGATCCTTACTACCAAAAGAGCCACCCATGTGACATGTGTGACCCAATCTTGAAAGACATCTTGTGCCTGGCTGGCCAGCAGAGAACATGTTATGGGCATCAGGCATACCCCTGTAAGTCATGTGGAAGAACCTTCTGGGTAACTGTAAATATTGACCAAATCCCGAGGCCACAGGGTGGAGAGGCATCCCCTAGAATGGAAAAAGACCAGGCCTCCTCTGTGAAGAGGTGCAGAAGCTACATGCCAAAGGCTTCCACTTACAGGGAAGCTAGCTCCTCCTTGGCTAGCTCTGGATGTGTCCAGCACCATCTCACTCAAGATGAGATGCAACTATGCGTTAGCACCAAACGTGAGGAAGTCATTCACACTGGACAAGATTGTGAGTGCACTGAACGTGGGGAAGCTTTCAACAACAAAGACAAATGTGGTCAGCACCAGAATACCCACGGGAGAGGAAAGCTTCATGAGTGCAATGATTGTGAGAAATGTTTTGTCTACAACTCCAGCCTCCAAGCACACCAGAGTGCTCACAGGGGATCAAGACATGTGTGTGCTGAATGTGGCAAATGTTTTATCAGAAAATCCCATCTTGTTCAGCATCAGAGAATTCATACTAGATCAAAACCTTTTGAGTGCAGTGAATGTGGGAAGGCCTTTGGCCGCAAAGACACTCTTAATCAGCACCAGAAAATTCACAGAGGAGAAAAGTCTTTCGTGTGCAGCAGATGTGGGAAAGCCTTTCTCCGAAAAGATGCACTTGCTGAGCACCAGAAAAGCCACACTGGGGAAAGATCTTATGAGTGTGATGTATGTGGGAAATTCTTTAGCCACAGTTCCTATGTTAAAGTACATAAGAGAATTCACAGTGGACAAAGGCCCTACGTGTGTGGTGAATGTGGGAAAGCCTACATCAGTCATCCCCACCTTATTCAACACCAGAAAGTTCACACCACAGCAAGGCCTGTGGATGAAGTGAATGTGGAAAATTCTCTGGCAAGAATTCCAACCTCATTACACACCGGAGGCTTAACACCAGAGCAAGGGCTTATGTGTTCAGCCAATCTAGGGACATCTACAGAAAACATTCCCCCCTGGCCTGGCACATAAAAGTTCATACCAAAGAAAGGCCTCATGTGTGTATGAGTTTTTGGGGACCCATTAGCTACATCTTTCAAGTTCACTTAGCACCAGAAACTTCACACTAAAGAGAGGCCTTAAGAGATCGGAGAACATGCTTTCTCCTTGCTCCATACAGCATGACTCACAAAAGAGAAAAGCTTTGAAAGTAGCCTTTGAGATGAGGTTGACGACCTGAAGCTGAACTTCATATATCTAAATATCCATGCTGGGAACAGAACTACAGGTGCCAGGTATGTGGAAAGGTTTCAGGAGTTACTTTTACATGTTTTGAATCTTCCCAGGGTTTTCACTTGGCCTAAGCTATGCCATCACCTGTATCTGTTGCAGAGGGCATTGCACTGCTGCCAGCAGTCAGGGACCCACCCTGTGTGTCTGTCAAGCCAGTGTACTCAGGTAAGGCACACCTCCAACCTCTCTCCTATTTCCTGGAGGAACTCATGAGTGATATGAACCCATTTAGGGATCGTCATTTCCTACCCATGGATGGCTTCAGTGTGGACATGTTCCAGCACCGACCAAAAAGATCTGAGCTGGAATCTGCTGCAGGTTTTCAGAAGTTTTTGTTTTCCATGGACAGTATTGACTCTGCATGACACAGCTGAGAGGGATTTCCCCAGCCTCCAAATCACCCAGCCTTGGAACTGCCTGCCCCACACTGATCTGATTTATGCAATGAAATAGACTTATTGTTAAAGACTTTATTCTGTTCTGTTCACTGTGTGGGGCTGATTGAGAAAAGAAATGGGCTTTCAAGAAACAGGTCATGACTCACTGAGCTCATTTCTTCCCTTCACACCTGTATACAAGGGTGTTGATTGCTTTCCATAGTCTGGAAGAAAACTAGGACTGTGTGCTAAATAGAGTTAATGCTGTCCAATACAGTAGGCACTGGTCACATATGACTACTGAGCATTTGAAATGTGGCTGGTCTGAGCTGAGATATGCTATAAGTACAAAATGCACACTGGATCTCTAAAACATAATACGAAAAAAAAGAGAGAGTGAGAAAGAATGTAAAACATCTTAAAAGCTTTATATTGACCATATGTTAAAACGATAATATTTGGGGTACATTCGGCTAAGTATAATATGTCACCAAATTTTTTTCAAAAAAAGAGAGCGAGATATGGGCTTTGCCAGCCCAAAGAGAAGAACACGTTTTGTTTGGGCCCCAAACTTTATGTGTATCAGAGATGGCAGGACAGCAGAGAACAGCTCTCAGTCTAATTTGGTCTAATTGCCAATGCTGCCTAAGCCTTCTTATGAAAAACTGTTCAGCCTTGTGGGACTGATCTTATGACCTAGATGTAAGGATCTCGTGTGAGCCCTAACCTCACCCTGATGAAGGGATAAGTGGTATGACAACCTCCGGTGTTTTCAGGAACAACATGACTTAAGTTCCTTTTGCCTAGGGATGTCTCACATTCCCCAACACTGTTGAGGTACAGCTGTCTCCCGAGACCTACCCAGAAGTGACAGCCCCTGAGAAGTACAAACATACAGTAGGCAGAAAACACCTTCAGAGGCTAAGTGGGAAACAGAATTGATAATATTTCTTTTTCTGATGCATAGAACATTGTCATTTTTCCTGACATTCAGATTTATTAAGGGTAAAGATACAAGTTTTGTTTTACTACTTTCCAAACTTTTAAGCATTAACATTTAGTAACGCTAAGTCTGGTAAATATTGTTTTATTTAGAGATCCTTTCTTAAATGTTTATTTACTTATATTTCAGAGAGAGAGAGAGAGAGAAATACAAGTAGGGGAGGGGCAGCGACAGAGGGAGGCACAGAATCCGAAGCAGGCTCCAAAGTCTGAGCTCAGGAACCATGAGATCATGACCTGAGCCAAAGTCGGATGCTTAACCAACTGAGCCACCCAGGCGCCCCTAGATATCCTAAAATAGGTTTGATGATAATTTATTTATTGAAGGTTTGATTATAATTTATTTAGAGAAAATAAATCTTTTAAAAATTAGATTTAATTTAAAAAGTGTAGCTTTAAGATTAAAAAAGCATAGTATAGAAACATTAATTAGGGAGTGGTGGAGTTTCTGGCAAGTTAGAGGTTTTGTGTCTATTCTGAAGAGCATACACAAATTTCATGTGACTATATCTCTGGATTAAAGAAAGGCGTACAGAAATTCTTAGGACCTACAGACGTCTCTATCTCCTCCGGCAGAGGTCAGTGTCAGAGCAAATAATCTAAAGGTTTTCTGGATTCCTATACTTCCCTGGGCTGTAAACCTTAGGCCATTACTGCATAGGTAGGTGCCCCAGGGCAAGGAAGAGGTGTTGTGATGGAGCCAGTATTTACGTGGACATGGTATTATTTGCTTTCCAGTTGCTGCTGTCACCGAGGCAGGGCTGACCCTACCAAGACATGAGAAGTGGGAAATAGTTGAGTCAATATAGGGTTGGTTGATTTACCAAGAGAAATGGGAGATCCAGAATTTTATGTGGAAGCATCTTATCTTTTAATAGCTTTATTAGTGTATAATTGGAATATAATAAACTGCCCATATTTAAATTATAAAATGTGATGAATTTTGACATATGTATACACCTGCAATACCATCACCATAATTAAAATAATGAGTATATTATTAACCCCAAAAGCTTCCTCCTGCCCTTTCATAATCTCTTCCTTTTGCCCCTCCCAAATCCCTCATTCTCATTCAACCATTGATTTGTTTTATTTCACAGTAGTTTAATTTGCACTTTCTGGAATTTTATATAATAGCTAATATAATAATAAAATAATAATACAATATATTAAATAATAAAGCTTTTTTGTCTTTCACTAAGCATAATTGCTTACAGATTAATTTATTTTAATTAATTAATTTACTATTTATTCATTTATTTTTGCTGAGTAATACTTCACTGCATATGGATGTAATACACTTGTTTACCCATCAGTTGTTAACGGACCTTTAAGTTGTTACCAGTTTCTGATTATTAAAAATAAAGTTTATTTGAAAGAAAAAAAAAGAGTAATGAATTTACAAACTCAGATGCCTTGAAAAATGAAAGGCAACTCATCAAGAACAAACCATTCCACTCATATTGCCTTTGAAGAGGCAGATTCTGGCATGATCTAGGGAAGAATTTCAAGATCTTGGGAGGAGATAGCACTTATAGCCAATGTAATTGCAAATCCTTGCTAATTTGTGTAAGCAAGAAATCAGGAGGTATAATGGAAATGGATTTTAGGTTTGCTAGGCCAAGAAGAATAGAACATAAGGCTAAATGAGGTAAAATTGATCAAGATAGGTAAGCTTACCTGCGATTGAGCTTTTAATAGGGAAAGTGAAGCAGCTAGAAGCAGATCTAACAGTTAGCTAAAGCCCAGACTGAATAGTAGCCTACATGAAAGAGTGAAAATGCCCCAGAATTTCCCTGCGACAACTTTTTTATATCTCAGAGGTATGACTCCAGAAAATTACAATTCCAAGTTTTTTGTTCTCTGGCTTCCATTAGGTTTTAGCCAGTGGGAGGCACTTAAGGGAGACTGGATGGCAGGAGGTAAGGAAAATCCAGGCTTCTTCTCCTGCCTCTATGCATCAGCTGGCTTCTCTGGCAATGTCTGCATCCCCTTCTTTGTTCCAGTACAGTCTTGCCTTCCAAACAGTCTTGCCATGGCTCCAACATTTACCAGGTTATCTTGAGCCCTAAGTTTCTCCCTCTAGCCTTGAGGTAGTAATTGTTTCCTGGCTGATACTAATGTCTGTGTCACCCCAACTCCCTTCAGTTTTGGGTTCCCAATATTTCTATTAATTATTAATGTAGCTGATTTCCTGAATTAAACTCCTTCTGTTTAAATACTTCTTTAAAGTATTTTTGTTAAGTCCTATTTTTTCTAGTTATAGTCTTTTTAAAAATGTCCATTTATTTTATTTGAGAGAGTGAGAGAGAGAGAGAGAGAGCAGGGAAAGAACAGAGAGAGGGGTAGAGCGAGAATCCCAAGCAAGCTCCACACTGTCAGCATAGAGCCCAACGTGGGGCTTGATCTCACAAACCCTGAGATCATGACCTGATCAAGAGTTGGACACTTAGCCAAATGAGCCACCTGGATGACCCTCTAGTTATATTCTAGTGAGTGAACAATTATACTGAATGAATGTGAAGAGAAGGGTGTGTGAATCAGAAATATGGGAGATAAACATTTTTTAGTCCTGGTTTCTGCAGAAAACGGATTATTCAAAAGATAGTTGAAGAAAATTTAATCAAAGGACTATTTACAGAGTTGAGAAAAAGATTAAAGAACTCAATAGAATGGTGATGCACCCAGAGACTGACAATAGTGTGAAGCTATTCGCAGCCTTACAAAAGAAGGCAAGGGAGAGACCAGTAATACTGGAACTGACAAAATCTGTAACTCTGGGAAAGAGCCCCCGACAGAAGTTTTGGCCATAGGTAGGGGAACCTGACTACTCTTAAACTGTTGTCTGGCACAGAAGGATCATCTGGAAGTGGGAATAGACACCTGACCTCCCTCTGCTCCTAACCTTACTTAGATCGCCTTCCAATACCTGTCACTGGCAAAATGCAATTATAAACTAAAGCCCAAGGGGCCTCTGGTGATCCAGTCCATAGAGGTCATCCTGTCAGCACACAGTACAGAGCAGAGAGAGACAAAGATTGGATCTAGAAAAACAAATAGAGATTGACGAGCATAACCAACTAATGAGTTGAATGTTGAGAGTATCTGCTAAAACTGATAAATCAAGAAATAGCTGTAAAAGTATGTATCTAGGGAAAAACACAGTTTCCTCACATACAGCATTTCTGACACTGGATGTGTGGGTTTTTTCCCACACTGATTGACTAACACCAGACAAATGTCCCCACTATTCAATTCAATCATGATATTAACTGGAGTTAGCACAGACACTACAGGTTAAGGGCTTAGTCCCGCGAGACTGCTCCCTGCCTTCACATGCCAGTTTGGAGTAGTAGGTCC